GCTGAAGTTGGACGCTTAACGGACTGAGCCACCCAGGCACCCCTCAGTGTAATTTTAATGCTGCTTCTGTTACTTAACTGTGGACTCTAGGTTCAAGTCTAAATTCCGAACACCTGGTTTTGGTTCCAGCTCTGCCATTTCTTAGCTATTTGACCCAAGGCAAATTTCTTAGAGTCTCTGTGACAGTTGCCTCCTCTATAAGGCAGGAACAGATATTTCTCTAATGTTATTACCCAAATTAAGGGGTGCCTGAGTGACTCAGTCAGTTAAACGTCTGACTTTGGCTCAAGTCCTAATCTCATGGTTTGTGAGTTCAAGACGCGGATCAGGCTTTGTGCTGACAGCTCCGAGCCTGGAGCCTGCTTCGGATTCTGTCTGTCTCTCTCTCTCTCTGCCCTTCCCCAACTCGTACTCTGTCTCTCAGAAATAAATAAACATTAAAAAAAAATTTTAATGTTATTACCCAAAATAATACCCATTTGAATAATATGTAGCACATTACAAATGTTCAAAAACTTTTTGTCTCTGTTCTTACAATCCTCACATTCTTAGATCTCAGACTTTCTTAAAAGTCTCTGAATTTTGTAGTCTCTAAAGACACTACTCATAGCGTAGCTCATCAGAGAAATCATTAATGTGTAAAATATACTATCTAACACTTCTGTGTAGTCCACCTTGTGATGAACTTTTTAATTTATGTATTTTGTTCACAAAATTGCAGAATGCACAGTGACTTTGTGGATGTATGTCCTCTCTTTGAGAAGTATAATAACAAAATTAGGGCTATATGACTGGCTCAAAAATATCTTCTACTGATTTGTCAAAAAACTCACTACCACCAAATCAATCCTTACATCTTTCTCTTATAATTTGCATGAAGATAATAACTCTCCTCATGGTCTCTTAGTCAAATGTGTTTCTTGTTACAGGTGCTGTTGACCTTCAGGGATGTGACCATAGATTTCTCTCAGGAGGAGTGGGAGTGCCTGGACCCCGCTCAGAGGGCCTTGTACCGGGAAGTGATGATGGAGAACTATAGGAACCTGGTCTCCCTGGGTGTGGATAAAGTGCGTCCAGATGTTGGGATCTGCCCTAGTGAGTTTCTTGGGATCCTCTGCCCTGCCTGACTGTGATCAAAGCTGTTTTGACTCTGAAATGAAAGCTTTATGAAGTGGCATCTGGATTTTCATCTCCTCCTTTCTTCAGATTATCTGCCCACTCCTCCCTAGATTAGTATTGCTTCCACCACCTGAGTAATCACCAAACCGTATAGCAAAATTTTAAAATACTGGATTCCCTGGTTTTACTCCCATGCTTTTGATCCAGTAATTCTCAGAAGAGAGCTAGATGGCTATATATTTAAAATGTTCCTTAAGCAGAAGAAGGCAGTCAGTGGATGAAATTAGTGTAGACCCATCTGTAACATCTTCCATCTTCAGATGAACTAAGGGCTGGGATTATATTCTGGAAAAGCCCCAGCACATAACTTTCATTTCTTATAAGCAGGAATCTCTCTGACCTGAATATTATCTCTGTTTTGGAGCCAGGGACAGAGCCCAGGGGTCTGGAGGGCAAGATGAAAATAGAAAACCAAGTGGGTTTTCCACATCTGTGTCAAAGCTGTGAACGCTGGTAACAGCTGAGACAGTCAGAGATGAAGCTGCTTCGTCAAATATTGTCTGAGAAACCCTCCCCAACAAGGAGAGGTCTGGGAAAAGAAAAGTACTTGTGAGCACGCAAAGGAAATCTCCCCCATTACTCTGTCGTACAGTTGGAGTATCCTCCAACCCTCTGACGGTGTCCCAGCTGATGCAGAGACAGAGGCAAGAGTCTTTATCATGACCTACAACACTCTATTATCTGGTTGCTGTGACCTTTTTGGGCCCTAGGCTTTGAGAGGGATGAGGAGGGCTGTGTCACAGGGACCCTCGTTCCCGTGGTCTCTCCTCCCGTACTTGATTCCATCTGATTCCAACCGATCCATCAGTTCCTCTGTAGTCCTGGCCCCAGGACCTGTCCAGGGTTCGTCCTCAGTTCCTGTGTTTGGGAGAACTGTTTACGAGATAGGAAAACACTGAGTGCTCCTCCATTGCATTTGGGCCCCAAGGCTTCCTGGGACTGCCTCAAGGCCTCATAGCCATTTTGTCAGACCTGCTGTTGCCACACATCAAGAGTATAATCAGGCAGTGGGGTGGCTCTTCTGAGATTGTTGGTCATCAGTACCGTAAAGACAGTGGACAGAGAGATCGTCTCTTTGAAACCCAGTCCTATGTGGGGAGCGTGCCTTAGTCTTCTCAAAGACCCTATAAAATCTAACTCCTTTACTTCTGTTATCTTGCCTTGTCCTTCCAGCGCTCTGCCTAGGCTAGGGATGCAGATGAAACTTGGCTCTTCAAGATTTCGTATTTTCCTAAGTGAAATTTTGCCCGTGAAACTTGTTTTCCTAGGGTCTGAAATAGCTTCTTTATCTGCTCTGATAACCCACTTTTAGATGATGGGCAACCTCTGGTGGACTTACCTATGGAGGGGGCTTAGCGGGTAACAAAATTTTTGAAGAACGCTTTGATTAATGTATTACAGTGCTGTCCTGCTACTTACGGGAAGTGCCCATTTACACCACTGAGTGGAGTGGTCAGCAAGTCCTAGGGATGCTGACATGGAAAGTGTCAGGATAGCCTGACTGATCGGTGATAATAGTTACCTTTCTGCTGTTGGTGGAGTGTCACCCTGTCTCTCAAGGGCAGTGTGGCGATATTGATCAAATATCTAATGATCATTCCCTTTGAGCCAGCAATCAAAGGTGTACGAACTTATCCAAAGGAAAATGTCACAACTGTGTGTCTATGAGGCTTTGGCCAAACTGTGGTTCATGTCACATTTTTCCCCTGGCATGCACCATTGTTTACTCTCCTTCAAACAAATAATGATTTTTTTTTTAAGTTAATTTATTTTGAGAGAGAGGGAGCATGAGCAGGGGGGGGGCTGAGAGAGAGAGAATCCAAGCAGCTTCTGCAGAGTAAGCGCAGAGCCCGACGTGGGGCTCAAACTCATGAAACTATGAGATCATGACCTGAGCCATAATCAAGAGTCAGACGCTTAACTGACTGAGCCACCCAGGCATCCCTGATTGTGATCCATCTTGAGGGAACTTCTGAAGTTAAATGATGCCTCCATTTTTTTTTTTTTTAATTCTAGTGTAGTAAACATAGTGTTGTATTAGTTTTAGGTGTACAATATTATGCCTCCATTTAACTTCTAATTTGTTATGTTTAAACCACAGCAGTTTTCATTATCTACATTTCCATGTACATATTAAAAATGAACTTTAGGGGCGCCTGGGTGGCTCAGTTAGTTGAACGTTTGACTTTGGCCCAGGTCATGATCTCACGGTTCATGAGTTCCAGCCCCTTGTTGGGCTTTATGCTAACAGCTCAGAGCCTGGAGCCTGCTTCAGATTCTGTCTCCCTCCCTCTCTGCCTCCTTACCCGCCTGTACTCTGTCTGTCTGTCTGTCTGTCTCTCTCTCTCTCTCTCTCTCAATAATAAATAAACATTTTTAAAAAATGAACTTCAAAAATTTAATCATTGATTATATGTTTTTGATGACACTCAGAATTCTGTTTTATATCTGTGATTTGTGGGCTGCTGGATCAAGTAATAAATATCTTAGTCCCTTTATTTCTCTTTCACCTGATTTACCTGTTATTAAAGTACCCTTTTCTCAAATTGATGGGATTTCTAAAGTGGGACTATTGGATATCTTGAGAAAATATTTTTTTATTAAGTTACTGTTCATCCCAGAAACCATTAAATTGATTTGCCACAATTTGTTATATAGGATACCTTGCTTTTTTTTTTTTTTTATAGTATATTTAAGTTTTCTAAATACAACTTCTTGGAGGCACCTGGGTGGCTCAGTTGGTTAAGCATCAGACTCTTGATTTTGGCTCAGGTCATGATTGATTTAACAGTCATGAGATTGAGCCTCACATCGGGCTTCACACCAGGCATTGAGCCTGCTTGGGATTCTCTGTCTCCCTCTCTCTGCCCCTACCCCACTCGTGTTCTTGCTTTCTCAAAATAAATAAATACATGCATACATACAACTTCTTGGATTTTATTTGAATTTTACTGACTCTTTCTATTTTGGTACAAATGCTTTATTTTTTAAAATTTTTTAGTGTTTATTTATTTTTGAGAGAGAGAGAGAGAGGAGGGACAGAGAGGGAGGGAGACACAGAATCTGAAGCAGGCCCCAGGCTCTGAGCTGTCAGCACAGAGCCTGATGTGGGGCTCAAACCCATGAACAGTGAGATCATGATCTGAGCTAAAGTCAGTCACCTAACCAACTGAGCCACCCAGTCACCCCCAAATGCTTTACTCTGATAATTAATTTCCCTCTCTAGATTTATCATGTACATCTTGGTATACTAAACTAATGTTTGAATGTCTCATTTTATCTTATTTGGAATTTAGCCAACCTCTTCCACTCCATGTACATCCTCACCACTATTGCTTATATAACTCCTGGAATTTTCCACCAAATTTTTCATGTTCTGGAAACTACATTCTTTGCTTAATACCTGAAGGCTGTTTTGATCTTCATCTTTTAAACTGCATTCCACAAAAAGTTCACCTGGTCCTCATTGACTTTCACCTGTCAGTACTCTGCAGTTCCCTGGCTACAGTCAACTGCTTACATTGCTAACCACCTCTCTGCACATCTGCCTCCTGCGTGGCACTGCCACAAGTTGTTTCTGTAGAGTCACCTGGTACTAACATTGCCCTTCGGTAGAATCCATTCCGCACTGTGAGTCATTATTTTCCCCTTGAGGTTGCCTAGGCTGTGATAATTGTTAATGAAATCAGAATTTATTAATTTTGGCTAAGTACACATAATTTCCACTGATTCATAATAACTATATATCCACCAATACCTATAGTAAGAGCATCCTTTACCTCATGTCTCTTTATGCCAGCAGTTGTGTAAAGAGATCTAAATATATGATTTCAGATAACTAGAGGAGAGTGCAAAAGAAGCACTCTTATTTTTATATAACAAGCAAGGATACTTAGCCTCAAAAAGGCTAACATGCCAAAATTGGTAAATTTCTATTTATAAAATATGTAAATAATTTGGTTGGTATATATATATATATATATTTTCAATTTTTATTAAAAAAAAATTTTTTAAACGTTTATTTATTTTTGAGACAGAGAGAGACAGAGCATGAACGGGGGAGGGTCAGAGAGAGAGGGGAGACACAGAATTGGAAATAGGCTCCAGGCTCCGAGATGTCAGCACAGAGCCCGACACGGGGCTCAAACTCACAGACCATGAGATCATACATGAGCCGAAGTCGGACGCTTAACCGAACGAGCCACCCAGGCTCCCCTTATTTTTATTTTTTTAGCTTAATCTAACCATATCCCCCCAAGTTCAGAACTTGACAAAAATCTGCTGCTAAATTTGTTTCCTCCTAACAAACCCTTTGTCTTCCCTACCAGGGATTCATCATCTTGCCATGTGTCACCCTCCATTGCTGAATTCTTGACAGACTTTCTTTGCATCTGCATGTGTACCTGGAATGAATTCATCCATTCTCTCCTTGATGGCCATGTCCAGAATTTAGCTTTTATTTTTTTTAATATTTATTTATTTGGAGAGAGAGAGAGAGCTTACACACACAGTGGGGAGGGGCAGAGAACCTCTCTCTCTGGGAGAAAGAATCCCAAGCAGGCTCCATGCTGTCAATACAGAGCCCCACATAGGTCTCATTCCCATGAACCATGAGATCATGACTTGAGCCTAAACCAAGAGTCAGATGCTCAACTGACTGAGCCACCCAGGCGCCCTAAGAATTTTGCTTTTGATACTTGTTGAGAACATTTTTTGTACATGTCTGATGTAACATGTATGTAGGACTCTTTTGAGTATATGCTTATAAACAGAAAGCCAAGGATATTCAATTTGATAAATTCTAAGGCAAATGTTGGAAGGTAAACCTATATTCCTCCCACTGTATCATACCGACTGCCTTTCTAATCTCTTCATTCTTCCCTGCCCCACCCCTGCCACACCCATAGTGCATTTCCTGAAGAATGGGTCAGTATTGTGCCACTTGATAAATGAGTTCATGTCTTTTTGTAAGATAAAGATTTGTACTGTCCCAGCACAATTGTATTCTCATAAATTTGCAAGCATAGGCTCTGTTCTTCTACCTTTTCTCAGATTGTTCATTGATCTGGATGGAGCACGCTGTTCCTTTATTAGCGTATTATTGTTGAGCCCCTGGACACCCAAGTCTCCTCAGAGAACCCTATCCTTACCCCTTCTCCCACATTGTATAAAGATCTATACTCTTCCAGAGGACATCTTGCTCAGGATAGCACCACTCCTGGTCACTCTCTAAATCAACACTTTCAGGGAGTGATGATTCAGATGCCGTTATCCAGGAGGGAGGAGTCAGTAACAATATTAGTGACACAACTCAATTCCCGTAGTTTTCCTGAAGCATTTCTCTGCAGGTTGATGGGATTTATTATGCCCTTTTGCTTACTTCCTGGGGTGGGCAGCGGTGTCTAGTGCTCGAGGACCTGTGCTCTGAGCTTGCAGGCCCAGGTTCAAGTTTTGGCTTTCACATTTACTTTCTGGGTGAATTAGTATTGGATACATAAACACCATGGGCCCATTGTTTTTACCTGAAGTAATGTGATGATTTACCTCGAGAATATTAAATATGTTAATGCTGTGAGAACATTTTGATTTTTGTATAGCATATAGCAAGGACTGAAAATTTACTTTTGTTTTTCTAATATTTTTTAATCCCTCTTACGTGATTGACCTTTGCCTGCAGTGTATTGTGTTTGTATTCATTTTGTAATTTATCTCATCTCAATGTTATCTCTGCCTTAGTAAATTTTCGAGGCACATACTCTAGTACATGTATTTCTTTTTAAAGAAAATTTTTTTTTTGTTTTACATTTATTTATTTTTGAGAGAGAGAGTGAGACAGAGCATAAGCGGAGGAGGGGCAGAGAGAAAAGGAGACAGAATCTGAAGCAGCCTCCAGGCTCCGAGCAAGCGTTCCGCACAGAGCCCAACGCGGGGCTCAAACCCATGAACCATGAGATCATGACCTGAGCCGAAGTTGGTCACTTAACCAACTGAGCCACCCAGGCGCCCCTCTAGTACATGTATTTTGTAATTGCAGAATTGCATAATTAAGTGTTGTTTCATAGTTAGGAAATAGCTCTATTGGCTCTTAGTTAACTGCAAGTATGAAATCATAATTCTGATTTCTGATCGCCTTCCCAAATTCTTTATCTTAAAATATGTATATACCTGAACCAGATATTTAAAACATCAGTGGTTCTTAACATATGTTTCAATTCTCATATGGTGGGGGTATAGCTCAGTGGTAGAACATTTGACTGCAATGCTCATAGTACGTACTCCTTCCGAAATAGGAGCCTTTTTCTTTGTTCTGACGGAAGAAGTCTTTAGAATGCCACAGATTGAAATGGTTTGTAATTGTGTTTGCTTATTATTTATCTTCTAGATTTACTGTGGGTTTCTAAAAATGTTAGATTCATTTTATTATGATTTACAGATAATGGTTTTCAGTATCCATTTTGTATTATGACTGTCATGCACCAGTGGTTAATGTCTGCATGAATATAGATAGTTTTATTATAGAAATTCAGAACAATATTTGTTATTCTCACAATGGTGTTTTATCAAGTTTGCCTCATTTTCTCAGAGCTGTTTTTATTTTGTAATTGTGAATTGCGATTTATTTATTAGAGAAGTTTGTTAAGATATTATTTATCATTGGGGTGCCTGGGTGGCTCAGTCGGTTAAGTGTCCAACTTTGGCTCAGGTCATGATTTTGTGGTTTGTGAGTTCGAGCCCAGCATCAGGCTCTGTGCTAACAGCTCAGAGCCTGGAGCCTGCTTTGGATTCTGTGTCTCCCTCTCTGTCTGCCCCTCACCTGCTCGTGTTCTGTCTCTCAAAAATAAACATACATTAAAAAAAATTAAGATATTATTTATCATTATATTATCAATGCTCTGTTTTAGCCTTTATTGTTGTACCTAAATAGTTAGGTACCTTTACAGTGTATGTGCATTAATATAATATTGCTTTTCTTCAAATATGAGACACCCAAATATCTACTGCCAAATGGTGAGTACTTTGGGGTGGCAACAGAAAGATGCTACTTGTTTCAGGGCCTATGTAAATACTCTGAGTGGTTTGATCATAGGGTGTTGGAAGTAGGCTTTCCTGAAAATAATTTTATCTATGTGTAAACACCCTTTCTTAATTGAGGAATCCAATTCCCTTTGTATTCCTAAATATTTGCATACGTTGGTTGAGAAGTTTTAGAACTATCTAAGAATAACTTTTGGCATAATGTTATGTTTTCAAGGTAAAATATTCATTTTACAATTCTAGTTAATAGCAAACCTATGGTTCTTTATATCTTTCAGATATTTCTGTTAGAAGTGTGATTAAGGAATTATCAACAAAAGAGGATATTAACAAAGAAGAACTGTTCCAAACACTGATGTTGGAAAGACACAAAAGAAATGACATCAAGGGTTTGGGTTTCAGAGAGGTCCAGCAAAATACACATGAGTTTGAGAGTCACTATGGATATAATGAAACAAATTACAAAGGAGTAACTGCAGCCCATAACCACAGTTTCACTGGTAGAAGAGATCAACAGCATAACATCTCCTGGAATGTTTTCCCTCTAAAACACGATGTTTCTGTAAGGAAAAGTACTTCTCAATCTTACAAATGCGAGAAGTCATATAAAAGTTATTTGTTAAAACTAGAAAATAACATAACTTGTGCAGGAAACAAGTATATAAAATGTTTTGAAAATGGGATTGGATTAAGGTTTCAGTCACATCTGAGTGACCTTCAGAAGTTTCAAACTGAAGAGAAAATTCATGCATGTTATCGAGTTGAGAGGTTGATCAACAGTTCTGCTTCACCACTTCAAAGAATTCCTTCTAATATCAACATTAGCATTTGTAGTAAATCCAGGAAATTTCTTATTCATCCTCCATTACTTACACATCAAAAACCACATAATAATGAAGAGCCTTACAAATGTAATGATTGTGGGAAGGCTTTTAGAGGAAGCTCAAACCTCACCAATCATCAAAGAATTCATTCTGGGCAGAAACCTTACAAATGTAATGACTGTGATAAATCCTTTAACCGGATCTCACACCTCACTAGACACCAGAGGATCCATACTGGAGAGAAACCATATAAATGTGATGTGTGTGGCAAGGTCTATAGTCAACATTCAAATCTTACAATTCATCAGAGAGTTCATACAGGAGAGAAGCCTTACAAATGTGAAGAATGTGGCAAAGCCTTTACCGAATTTGCAAAACTTACTAGACATCAGAGAATCCATACCAGAGAGAAACCATATAAATGTAATATATGTGGCAAGGGCTGTAGTCAAAATTTAAATCTTGCACAGCATCAGAAAATTCATATGGGAGAGAAACCTTACAAATGTAATGAATGTGGCAAAGCCTTTTCTGAGTATTCAAGCCTTACTAGACATAAACAAATCCATTCTGGAGAGAAGCCTTATAAATGTAATGATTGTGGGAAAACTTTTAGAGGCAGCTCAAACCTCACCAATCATCAGAGAACTCATTCTGGGCGGAGATCTTACAAATGTAATGAGTGTGACAAATCCTTTAACTGCATCTCACACCTCACTAGACACCAGAGAATCCATACTGGAGAGAAACCATATAAATGTGATGTGTGTGGCAAGGTCTGTAGTCAATATTCAAATCTTATAATTCATCAGAGAGTTCATACAGGAGAGAAGCCTTACAAATGTAAGGAGTGTGGCAAAGCCTTTATGGAGGGTTCAAGCCTTACTCAACATAAGAGAATCCATAGTGGAGAAAAGCCTTACAAATGTAAAGAATGTGACAAAGCCTTTAGCCAGTCCTCTAACCTTGTCATACATCAGATGATTCATACTGGAGAGAAGCCTTACAAATGTGATGAGTGTGGCAAAGCCTTTAATGTGTGTTCAAGCCTTGTCCGGCATCGAAGAATCCATACTGGAGAGAAAACACTGTGAATTCAATACGTGTAGAAATGCTGTTGTCCAAAAATCAAGTACTGGGGATCATCAGAGAATCTGTAGTGAAGAGAAACCTCACAAATATAATGTTTATAGTAAAACCTTTAATGTGTGTTCAAGACTTACTCAACATCAAAGAATCCATGCTGAATAGAAACCATATAAAAGTCATGTATTTGCAAAGCTTGTAACCAGGGTTCACGTTTAATTAGACCCCAGAATATGCATCTTTGAAAGAAACCACAAAAAGGTAAAGGGTATGGCAAGGCTTTTATCCAAAGATCAAGCATATGTAATGTCTCCTACTGGAAAGAAACCATATAAATATAATGAATGTGTTAAACTTTTGTCAGATGTTAAAATGTTTACCTTAGGGGCCATGAGAGAAAACATACAAATGTATTGAAAATGGCAAGGCTTTTAGACAATGGTCTGACTTTTAAGATTCATCAGAGAGTTGATATTGTAGAGAAACCTTAAAAATGAAATGATGTGATAATTTCTTTAACCATTTCTCACAATCAGCTACACATCAGATAATTCATAGTGGAGAAGATAATGTCTGAGTTCTCCTGAAGGATTATTCAATTAAATTCCAAATAACGTTGGGGCGCCTGGGTGGCTCAGTTGGTTGAGCGTCCGACTTTGGCTCAGGTCATGATCTCGCGGTCTGTGGGTTCAAGCCCCGCGTCGGGCTCTGGGCTGACAGCTCGGAACCTGGATCCTGCTTCATATTCTGGGTCTCCCTCTCTCTCTCTCTCTGCCCTCTCCGGCTCATGCTGTCTCTCTCTGTCTCTCAAAAATAACACCAAAAAGGGGCGCCTGGGTGGCGCAGTCAGTTAAGCGTCCGACTTCAGCCAGGTCACGATCTTGGTCCGTGAGTTCGAGGCAGCGTCAGGCTCTCCTGGGCTGATGGCTCAGAGCCTGGAGCCTGTTTCGATTCCTGTGTCTTCCTCTTTCTCTGCCCCTCGTTCATGCTCTGTCTCTCTCTGTCCCAAAATAAATAAGCGTTGAAAAAAAAAAAATTAAAAAAAAAAACAAAAAAACACCAAAAAAAAAAATTAAAAAATTCCAAATAATGTTAATAGTGATTAGTTAAAAAATCAAAATAATACCTATTAATTGGTTATTTAAGTTACAAGGCTATCTGTGAAAAGGTCCTGTTACTTTCCTCTTATTATATAGTTTATTTCAGGTTTCTTGAAAAGGCCAAGTTACTGTTGATGATTTTCATCCTGAGGTTTGAAATCTGTTCATGTTATACCTTCATTACAATCCTTTCATGTCACCATGAAGATCTCTTGGAAGGGTTTAATAAGATAAAAGGGCAAACTTCATTAGGTGATGTTCATCCATGTCCAGAGTTTCCTGCAAGAACAAGAACCGTGAATTTGAGTGACAGTGTGGGTGGCATATAGTGGATGTAAAACTATGATCCCAGTCATCAAGATCAATGTGTTAAGGACTCTTCTCCAGATTTGTTGGTATGGGGCTTTTATAGTGGATCTGAGGAGGGTACTGAATGTGGCTTAAACTTCCCAACCAATGCCAAAGAAAGAGGAGATAGGCTATCTAATCAGCTTACCTAATTGGTAGAAGGGGGAGGGATGGGAGACTTGAAGCCGTTAATAGTCAAATAATTAAAAAATGAAGTCAGGATGGAGCACCCGGATGATTCAGTCAATTAAGCGTTGGACTCTTGATCTTGGCTCAGGTCATGCTCTTGCAGTTTCTGAGTTTGAGCCCAACATCAGATCTGCGCTAACAGTGTAGAGCCTGCCTGGGATTCTGTCTCTTCCTCTCTGACTAATTTAACACTGAATGTTTACTCTTAAAGTTTTTCACTTCTTGGTTGGGAAAGATGAGTTTTCCTCGCTAATAATCGTGTGTCCTTTTCTGCTGCACATGTAGGATCATTTATATAATATGTGAAAGTGTTTGTGAAATACTGTTTAGATAAATTGCCTGTGACATTTTTAGGGTAATTTCATGAAAATATGTAGGAAGTTTTATGAGACAATAGATACGATTTAGGGATTTTACTAGGAAAGCAGTTTTTCAAAGGCTATCAAAATCTCAATCTGGGATTATGGTAACAAGCCTTATGGTTCATGGTTCTTTTTCAACTTTGCTAGAGATTCATTTTAATTTTCTTTTTTTTTTTTTAACTTTTTAAATGTTTATATATTTTTGAAAGGAAGAGAGAGACAGAGTGTGAGCAGGGAAGAGATAGAAAGAGAGAGAAACACACAGAATCTGAAGCAGGCTCCAGGCTCTGAGCCAACAGCACAGAGCCCAATGCAGGGCTAAAACTCACAAACCACAAGATCATGACCTGAGCTGAAATCAGCTGTTTAACCGACTGAGCCACCCAGGAACCTCTCATGTTAATTTTCTTGTAAGTTTTTTTCTTACCACTTTTCCCTTCACATCTTTTATATCAACTTATATATTTAATTTACATTTTATCCCTTTAGTCAGTAAAAAATTAGGAGGATGTATGACAAAGGGCTTCTGAAACTTTTACAACATAAAAATGAGAAGTACAAAGTGCTTTATGAATGTAAAGAAAGAAGGTCTGTCATGTCTTTAGTTCAGTGTAACAATTGCAATGGTACAGGATGATGAACTGGTATCTTGTAATGTGGAGGCAGGAGACCTAGTGCTTCCCTGAAAGTCACACTAGAATTTTAGTTAAAAATATGCTCATTTCACCTGAAAAGTTTCTAAAATACATGCTCTTTCTGCTGTTACAATTGCTGTCGTCATCACTTCTATTGCAATGGAAATTGGGACCCATATCTCCAAGGTCTTGCAGGACAGAGTCAGTCAGAATGTTTTCCTGAATTCAATGCAAATATAATGGATATTTGTTCATTTTATTTATATATAATTCACATGCCATAAAACTGACACCTTAACTGTGTACAATTAAGTCACTTTGTATTCACAATGTTGTAAAACCTATCAGTCAGTACTAACTCCAGAACAATTTCATCACCCCATAAAGCAACCCCATACCCTTTAGCACTTCACACCCCCACCCCTTGGAAATTGCACTGTAATTTCTGTCTCCATGTTTGTCCTTATTCTGGGCATTTCATATAAATGAAATCATACAATATGTGGCCTGTCATGTCTTTTTTCTGTGAAAATGTTTTCAAGACTGATCCATGTTGTAATGGATCATTACATGAGTCCTTTTTATGGCTGGATTATAGTATTATAAGTGTCCTGAAATATTGTATATGAAATCATTGTATGAAATTCTTTGGACTCCTGCTTTTAAGCTATTTAAGTAATGTTGCACTTACAACCTTTTGGGTTTTGGTTTTTGGTGTGTGTGTGTGTGTGTGTGTGTTTGGTGGACATTCTCAGTTCTCTTGGGTTCATGTATTGGGTTGAGATTGTAGTACCATAAGAATCATACACAAGTGTTTCAGTTTCTCCACTTCCTCATTAACAGTTGTTTTCCACCTTTTTTATTACAGCTACCCCAACAGGTGAAAGTGGTATCTCACTGTGTTTTTGACTTGCATTCTCTAATGACTAATGTGTTTCATGTGTTTGTTGGCCATAGGTATATCTTGTTTGGAGAAAAAAAACTATTCAAGTGCTATACACATTTTTAAATTGAGAAGTTGTTTTTTGTTTTAAGAATAATTTACATGTGATAGATATATTATACCCTTATCAGGTATATAATTTGTAAGTATTTTGTGGGTTATCTTTTCACTTTTTTGAGAATGTCCTTGACACACAACTTTTAAGTTTTGGTGAAACTTTATTTTGGGAAGGGGTTGCTTGCACTTTTGGTGTTGTATCTAAGAAACCATTGCTTAACTCAAATGTCAGGAAGACTTATACCTATGTTTTCTTCCAAATATTTTATAGTTCTTGCATTAGGTTCTTTGATCTGTTTTGAATTGACTTTTTAAAAAAATTTTCTTTAACATTTTTTCATTTTTGAGAGAGTACAAGGAAGGGAGGGGCGGGGG